GCTCAGTGGTTTCAGCGCCTGCCTTGCAAGCATAAGGACCCAAATTTGATTCCCAGTACACCCCCCAAAAAAAACCTGAAAATTGATTTAAATTAATTAAATGTAACTGTAGTGTATACTTTAAAAGTACCAATAAACTCAATAATATTTTAAAAATTAATTAATTATATACTAGCCATATTGGGCTCCTGATTTATGATAAAATCAAAATAAGTATTTACATAGCTATTATCTGTTATTCAACCAAGTACTGCGAAGAGAAGATAAAATGATTTTAAAAGTCAGCACTAATCTCAGCCATATATTCAGCTTTCAGAAAGTCTTATAAGCAGAAACTGACAGATTAAAGTATCTGGGGAAACAGTACATGCTATTCCACTGAGAAATGTCTGGGTTCTGGCCTGCCTCCACATTATCCCCAGTTGAAAAGTTCTCTCACAAGATGATAGTTTAATTTGGTTTTGAAGCTATTCACTTAACTAGAGTTAGGTGATAAAACTTGTTCTACTATAATTATTCAAGCAAGATAATCACTATGAAGAAGTAAGTTTTAGTACCTACAAGCTAAGTCATTAGGAGTTGTTAATATATATGTACATTCGATTAGAAGACAGGGCCAGGGATTTAGCTCAGTCGTTCTGCCACCTGCCTTGAAAGTACAAGGACCTGAGTTTGATCCCCAGTACCAAAAAAAAAAAAAAAAAGACTTTACTTACATCTAATTGGTCTCTTGTGGGTTCTGGTGATCGATCAGGAATTAATAAATCAGGAGGGTCATCAAACGGATCATCTAAAATCACTGTATGATTTATCCTTACAAAATAAATCCAAGTCAGATGTTAAATTTATTTCAGAATCCATATTTTATTTTCCTATAAAATATAAGTGTCCCTAATGCCAAAAAAAACTGCAAATGTACATAGATATTACTAATCTACAGTATACTTTTACAATGAGTATTACTGTTTTTAATATTGTAACTTTAGATATACATGTCTGAATCTTAATACTTTCGACCAATTTCTCAATAATCTGCATTTTTAAAACTGAAACATTAATAATTTCATCCAACATAAGCAATTACAAATAACTACAAGTATAAGATAAAATATTTTTAGAGATTCTTATCATCTTGTATTAATTCACTTTTTTTTTAGAGAGAAGGTCTCACTACGTAGTTCAGGCTGACCTAGCTCACTAGCTGCCCAGGCCGACCTCATACTCAGGGCAATTCAACACATCCACTTCCCAAGAGTTAGGATTCCAGGTGGGCACCCCACACTCAGCTTAATTCACATTTTAGGATTATTCAGAAATTAGTCCTATGCATACCAGTCACATCCATGACACTACACATCAAAAACCACAGTACTGGGGCTGGGGATTTAGCTCTGTAGCAGCACACCTGCCTCACAAGTGCAAGGTCCTGAGTTTGATCCCTAGTACCTCAAAAAAAAAATTCAAAAAAATCAGTTTTAAGACATGCAAGATAGTAAGCTGTAATCACACCTGATATCTTGATATGGTACAAAATCCTTGTCAACAAAGGTCTCATTAATTTTCTTAATTATGTCCATGCCTTCTGTCACTTCACCAAACACTGTATGAACACCATCAAGGTAATCTAGATTTTCTCCTGTAGTAATAAGAAACTACACAAAAAGACACATAATGCTGTAAATATTAAAAAATATATACAACTCGAAAATCTCTGATAAACTGGCAAAAAATACACAAAAACAAGACTCTAATTTACCAATTCTTACACACCTGTTACTAGGATTAAATAAAAACACAGACTTTATATATAAAATACCAACATGTACAGATATTCCCGATTGTTTAAAATACTTGGACAAAGCATGGCCCAGGTTTCTGAGACATAAAGAGTGGAAAAAGCACATACCCTAAAAGAGTTGTGAAGATTACACAACACAATGAATTTAAGATGCTCAACATAATCTGTTGAAAAACAAGTAAAAAATATTTAAAAGTAAACGGGCCACAGAGGAGAATAGTCATACTCTTGGATGGTGAGACTGTATTTAATATTATTTTCTTCTTTGAACTTTTCTGTATTTTCTAATTTCCTCACAACGGGCTTGGCTTACATTTATGAGAAAATAATGTGTTTTGTTTCTTTTTATAGTGCTGGGGATTGAACCTAGGGCCTTGTACACACTAAAGCACATATTCTATCTCTGAGCTATACCACTAGCCCTATAATGCTTTTAAATACAGAAAAAAAGTGCAATTTTTTAATCCTAAAAATACCTTTGACTACATTCTCTCATTACTACATAACTAAAAAGAAAACTTTGTAGGTTCCTTCCAGTCCTTCATTTGTAAGCAAAGCTTACACCCATTTTCTAACCTGAGATCCATGTTGATCACTGCCATTGTTCACCATGGACACAGTGCCTTTCTTCTTGTGCTTAATTCTTGGCACCTTTTCTGCCTCAAAAAAGCTTGCCTGATCTCCATACAGTTGACTGAAAATAAGGTAAGGTTATAAAACAAAGGTACTCTCAAAATGAAATACACAAGCATTGTAATACATAGTTTAGCAACTATTTATGGAAATATTACAATTCAAAATATTTCATTTTTTATAGAAACATTTTGGGAAGTTGGGGGAAACCCTATAGTTGAAATATATTTTAAAATGATAAACCATAAGGAGAATAAAAATAAAATAAAAGAACTTACCCAAAAATAGACTCTCCTCCACGGCCAGTACCCGTAGGATCACCGGTTTGTATGATAAAATCCCTCTATAATATATAGGATTCTTTATTAATTCACAGAATTTGCTACATGGTTTTAAAATCAAAGGACATGACTAAAATCTACCAACTCACCTGTACATTGTGAATAAGGCAATAATTATAATATTTCATTTTGCACAATTTCAGGAAATTCAAGCAAGCTGAAAGAAAAGTAAACACTGAATTTATATAGTGATCTACAAATTCAATTTTAAACAATCAGAAACACAGTATAAAAAACAGTATAATTTAATCTCTAAATTATTAAAAGAGAAGCAAAAATAGTCAAATGTATAAAGCCATTAAAAACAGGGAATGAGCCTCTTTTTCTTCTTTTTTTTTTTTTTTTTTTTTTTTTTTTTTTTTGGTACCAGGGATCAAACTCAGGATCTTGCGCTTGTGAGGCAGGCAGCAGAGCCACTGAACTAAATCCCCAGCCAGGGAATGAGTCTTTCAAAAGGCAAATATTTTAAATTTTCTGTTTATTTTCTTTATCTTCCAACTTCTGGGGCATCTGGGCTAATGTAGGAAATTGGTATTTATCCTCATGAGATAAGCAATCATTTGACGGCTTGGCTTTAAGAGAAAAAAGGACCATTAAAGAGGGCACTATGATGGGAAAAGATCTAGCAGAATACATGAAAATGTGTACACATTATATACATTTTAAAACATCTAGGAACAATTATTCTTACAATGATTAAAAAGTACATCACAAAAATCCATGCAGGGGTGTCAGGGCTGGGGATTGAATGCAAGGCCTTTGCACTGAGTTACATCCTCAGATTTTTTTTTTTTTTTTTTTTTTAAGGTCTCACTGAGTTACTAACTTGTCCAGGCTGGATTTGAAATTTCAAATCTCCTACCTCAGCCTCCCTGAGTGCTGGGATTACAGTTATGCACCATGATTTTCAAGCTTTCTCGTATAAATTTGTTTACTTAATTCACAAACATTTACTGTGTACCTTCCAGATGCTTGGCTCTGACAAAACAAATCCCCAAAAGACATGGTCTTTGCTCTCTACTGATTCACACACAGACTTAAGGCATGAAGTTAGAAACCAGACAGTAAGGTAAAAGAGGCAGTCCTTGCCTTCAAGGAATTTTTATTAAACTAAGTTACTTACAACTGAACATACGTATTTATAATAGGTATATCTAATGATACCATTTGTGCCACTTAAATAGTAAAATGGTAAAAAGTGATTTCTGAAGCATCACAAGAGTTCAAAATAATGCTTCTAGCTGAGGAAATTAGGAGACCTCATGGAAGCCTATGGTAAACATCAAAAGAACTGGATTTTATCAAATTATCATAGAGTTTACAATAAATATGTTCAATTTTATGTGTTATTTAAATATTAACAAAAATAATAAGAATTGGACACAGAATAAGCAAAAAGTGATTTCATGTTGGAAAATTATGAAAAAAAAACTGGAAATGAAAATTTAAGTTGTTTTTTTTTTGTTGTTTTTTTTTTTTTGAGGGAAGGAATGTCCAAAAGACCAGTCTTTCTGCAATATCCTGGTATTACAGAGTCATAGTGAAAAGGCTGGAGAGATGGGGGTCAAGTTGTTGTGAAGTCGTGAATATCCAGCTTTCAGTTATTTTTCTTGAGTATATTTCTGGGCTCTCTGTCAGTCCTTTTAAAAGAAAACAAAAATAATGGATCTAGGCAGTGTTCATCAATGGCCACCAAAATCTGTAGATGAAAAGCTGATGAAAGGTCTTATAAAGTAGGCATGACAGGACAGCAACCCAGACATCAAATGCCTCAATGTGATGCATCCACAAGTGTACCATACCTTATATGAAATATTCTTGCCCCAAACACTAAACTTGATTCTGACCAAGACTCTAAATCTAAGTAGCAATTTTTAAAAAATGAAAGGTTGAAGGAATATGTTAAAAGACATGAAAAGGAAATAATTAGTCAAATCTGAAACTAGAGAAATTCTATAAGACAAAGACCCGGATTCTTTCTCAAAAAAAAAAGGAAACAAAAAGGAAGGGTAGGGTATAGATTAAAAGATATTTAAGTGCCAGGCATAGTGCTGTACAACTGTAATCCCAGCACTTGGCAGGCTGAGGCAGGTGGATTGTCACAAGTTCAAGACCATCCTGGGCTACATAGTGACTTCAAGGCCAGCCCAAACTACATAGTGAGACCCTATCTTAGAAAGTCAAAACAAGATTTAAGAGATATGCCTGCTAATATATAGACCTTGATGAGATCCTAATTTAAATTACCAACTTTTAAGTGTTTATGAGGTAACAGGAATGTTTAAATGATACTATGAAATTTTTGTTAATTTTCAAGATGTGATAATGACTTATGTTTTTGTTTTTTGGTACCAGGGATCGAACTCAGTACCTTGTGCTTGCCAGGCAGGCGTGGCACAACTGAGCTACATCCCCAGTCCTTGTGTTTCTTTTTTTAAAGTCATTATTTTTTAGAGAAACATAAGGAACTAATTTCAGACTTTAAAAATCCAGTGGTAGTGAAGGTATTAAAAATGAAACCAGGAGTGAGGGATGTAATTCAGTGGTAGAGTGCCTACCCAGCTACCAAGCACGCCTGAGATCCTGGGTTCAATTCCCAGCACAAGCACAGGAATGGAGGGAGGAAAGGAAGAAGGAAGGGAGGCAGGAAGAAAGGAAAAAAGGAATGAAGGGAGGGAAGGAAAGAAGTAAGGAAGGTAGGAAGGAAGGAAGGAAGGAAAGAAGGAAGGAAGGAGGGCAGGTGGGCAGGTGGGCAGGCTATGTTTTGACAACCACCAAATTAAAATGGTCATGGGTACATGAAACAATTACAGTACACGATTTTCTCTACCTTGGTATATTTTTAATTTTCTACAATAAAAAGTAAAAAGGAAAAGATAATAAGTCTAGATATGTTACTATGCATTGATAAGTAGGTAAAATATAAGTAATTTCCAATCATATGCTTACAAATATGTCCACATAGAGTAGACTAATGTTTTTGGTGGCCCATGCTAACTGTAAAGTCACTGTGTACTAGGTGAGACAAATCCTATCTCTCCTTTAGTTTTCATAACTCTGGGACAGGAGATCCATTCATTTTTGAAGGTGCTGCTCTACATGAAGAGAGTGTCAAAGGAGCTCAAAGGAAAGCAAAACCAAAAGAAAAAAAATACAATTTCCTAAAACATTCGTTAAACCCCCAAATTCAGCTACTCACAAAGTCAAGTCTACCCCAACAATATAAGGAAATCATTTTACTTAAGCCAATTTGAGACTGGTTTCTGTCACTTGCACAGAATCCTACTATAACTCCTTTCTGGGCATCAGTAACTATCTGAACCTCTAGTGTGTGCCCTCAAAATGGCAGAGGTTGTATACAATAGTCAAGATACAGAGATAATTAAGGTACAGTTCCTGCTCTTATTGCAGTACATTCTTAAGAGGAGACAAGACGTGGAAGTAATTCCAGGACAAAAGGTAAATTTTAAAATAAAGTAAGTGTCATGTGATTTACCCAAACAACCTGAGAGCAGAAGAAACAAATCTAACTCTAGAAGGAAGCATTACGCAGAAGAGATCATGCATGATCTGAGACCTAAATAAGTAGAAAGTTGAAAGTAGAAAGTCAGGTTAAGAATGGAGAGGAGGCCAGGTGTGGCGGCGCACGCCTGCAATCCCAGCACTCGGGAGGCTGAGGCAGGAGGATCGCTGTGAGTTCAAGACCAGCCTGGGCTACACAGTGAGTTCCAGGTCAGACTCAACTATACAGTGAGACCCTGTCTCAAAAAAAAAAAAAAAAAAAAAGAATGGAGAGGAATCTGGGGCAGAGAAATAGCAAAGAATAGCAAGGATTTGGGGACAGCACGAAGTGCTTTTGCAGGAATGGGGAATATCTGAGCGTGGGAGAAAGTGTATTGTGGGAAGAGGTGCCACCATTATACAGTATACCTTGTTTCATCCTCTCTAATGGCATTCCATGGGGGCAGGACCCTTCTTATAACTAATCTCTCCTAGTCTTGGCTTCCTCCAACTAAAACATTCTCTACCTGCTGCCTACTATCTTCCCAGAGCAACACCATGCTTTAATCCTGCTTTTAAAACCTTCAAAGACTGGTCATCATCAGCAGGGCACAGAAGACTATTCAGGACCTGATTCGTCACTCACCATTCCTCCAGCCACACCACTTGGTGTTTCCAAAAAATTCCAAGCAAATTGCTAAGAAAATCCTCGTTCCCATTCATCTTTGAAAGAGCTTAACTCAAGTGTTCTACAGTCTGGTTGCTTCCCTTCTCCCCACATCCTCCTCTTGTTTCCATAGCAATTCATACACTCTTCTACTACAATACTTACAAAGCTAAAACGGGCTCCCGCCTTGATCTGTGCTACAGTGTAAAAAAGACCTTGAAGGACAAGACGCCTGGAATAGAGCTTTAACGTTACGTCCTGCAGGCTCTGTCCACACCTGCGCACACCTCCTTCCTCAGTTCAGGCGGGATGAGACGCCCACACTCACTGAGTAAAGCATATCTTGCCAGCTTTCTTCAAAATTTAACTGATTACACACCGAGTAGCATTTGATGTGGTTACCACAAGACAATAAAGGACAGCAAAGCTGCAAAAGCCATTGGTATTGCTTACGCATCCCCCATCACTCACACAACCCTAAAGCAATAATGACTGCACCGCCTTTCATCCGACCGGTAAACGCAAGATAAGGGAAAAGAGCGGCTCAGGAACGAAGTCACACAAAAACTTTCCTAACCACGGCCCATAAAGGACAGCCCCGTGGCGGGGACCCGAAGCTCCACCCAATGCGGCCGGGGACTGCCCCGTGAGAAAGCGGGCTAGCGGCTCAGCCCAGGAGAAGTAGGGCGCGGGCCTCACCTCGCGGCCGCTCCTCTGTGTACAAGTCGATGACGACGTCGCCCAAAGTAGTCTCCAGCAGAACCGCCATGGCGCCTAGTCAGCCTCCGCACTGACCCCGAGAATGGGAGGGGAAAGAGATGACAGGCGCAACCCGGCGGCGTCTACGCCAAGCGTCACCTGAGCGCGACTCCTGTTGCGTCATCGACTAGCGCCGCCCCTCCTCCCCTTCGTGTTTCGGGCGGCTGTAGTCAAAACCTGGCGACCCTGCTGACTGGAGGTGCTGTAGGTCCTGACTGGGCGCGGGTCTTTTGAAAATCCTGGTCGACCCTCCGTGACTTACACTAAAGAATGTTGCTCAAAAGGGCCACCATATAAGATTTTTTTTGTGCCCACATGCAGAACAGGGCGGCCCTCCAAGCGGTCCGCTCTTCTGTCCACCAGAGTGCCCCCGGCACTTCCTTCCCCACCTTCTGGGGAGGAGTCCCCGAGCTCCCTCATCAGTCTGTAGCGGTAAGTCAGAAACAGACCCCTGGTTTGCGCAAGGTCCTGGCTTCAATCCCCAGTACCCGCGTCTCCTAAAAGTTCCTCAGGCCTGACACGCACTATTTTCTTACCGGAAAGGTGATTAACCCAAGAATTTTTTTTTTTTCTTGCTCGTCTTGGCTAGAGCAAGAGCTATAACTATTGTAGCCTCACGTGACCAGTTCTTTGCTTCAGCCGGGTGTTGTAAATACTGTTAATTTAGAAGATTTACGAAGTTATTTCGGCTTCTACTGGGCTTTGGACCCTGACAACACTTTTCCGTGCACAGTTCATTCCCTATTGCTCTCTTTTATGCCATTTTGTACATGTTTGTGCAAATCTGGTATGTGTACACTGCTGAAATGGATAGGGAGAAGACAAGGAAATTTTTAATTTTAAAATTGAATTTTAAAATGCAGCTTCAGGACACAAAGATTACAATGTCATTTTCCCTTCCAGGAAACTCACCCAATCACCCCCCACCACACACACACAAAATCCCAAGGGTCTTAAAGATTCAATAAAGCCTGTAAACCAGGCCCATGCTTTTTCTCCTGTAAATTAAGTCTGTGCTTTTTTCCCCATATTATTCAGTTAAGCTGGTAGCATATCTGAACTTCAAAAACATTCAAACAGCTTGCACTGATACCTATCCCAGGCTCGGAGTGGTGGCGCCCACCTGTAATCCCAGCACTTGGTAAACTGAGGCAGGAGAATCGCTTAGAGTTGGAGACCAGCCTGAACTACATAGTGAGACACTGTCTTGAAATGGGGGGCGCGGATTTAGCGCAGTGGTAATGTCCGCTGCCTTGCAAGTGCAAGGACCCGAGTTCAATCTCTGGTACCAAAAACAAAACAAAACAAAAAACATCAGCTCCTACATCACCAGTCTTGAGAATGGCCCCCAAGACCACATAAAAAACCCCAATTCCAGACCATAGTGCTCACTCCTTCCTTTCTTTCACATTCATTATTTTTTCTCTGAATTTGTAATTCTGTAACTGCCTGATAAAACCTGTGTATGCCTCTCAATGACATGTCCTGCAATTTTTCTCTGGCTTGAGTAGGCTAACCTACAACCTACTCTGTGGGTGGAATGAGTTGAAGTCCCCATCTCCTCTTTGAGGGACCTGCTCAGATCCCATCTCATGACACTATGACAAATCATAAGCCTATCTAAGACAGCAAAGGAAGATAAGAGGTTTTTTTAAGCTAAAACGAAAGTTACATAAGTTATTTTGAAACAATTACTATATCAAGAAGGGTGGTGTCTAATAGAATAAGCAGTGCTAGAGAGTCACTAGAAGAATCCATTGGGTAAAGCCATTCAAGGTTAAAGTATTCAGAGAGAGTCCTTTAAATTTTCTTCATATGCATGGGTTCCTAAGAACTCTTCCTTTGTGATCTTCCAATTCCATTTTGTTAAGGTTTGACATAAATAACTTTTAATTTGAACAGCTTTCACCCTTACAGTCTCCAATAACTTTTTATCTGTTAGCCAAAATTATAATTTACAGACCTCACATGATCCTCTCCTGCCGCATCTTGTCCTCTCTCCTGTTACCCTGAAGTCACACTCGTTTTGTTGTTTTTGGGGGGGTTGGTTTTTTGTTTGTTTGTTTGTTTTTGCTATTGCCTGAATGCTGCTGACATACTTCTGCGTCAGGACTATTTCATTTGCCACCTCTAGTTGGAACCCTCTTCCTCCAGTTATTTAGATGGTCTTTTTTTTCCCCTCCGGTGCTTTGCTCATAGGTCACCCATTCAAGGAAGACTTCCCTTATTGCCATAATTAAAATTAATTCCATATATATACGTTTCTATTTTTCTCTATACAGTTTTTTGTCCACCGTTACTTTTCACCATCTACTGTGCTACATAGGAATTTGTTTATATTTGTTCATTTAACTAGAATGTATACTCCAGAAGGATAGTCAACTTTATTTGGTTTATTCCTATATACCTAGTGCCTCTAAAAGCTTGGCACACAATAAGTAAATAAATATTTGTTGGACAAGGGAGTATTGGCAATTAAAGGAATGCATATTCAAATGATTATAGTTGAAATACGAATGGGATTGCCACATTAGAAAACATTGGCAGTTTCTTCCAAAGCTAACTATAGTCTGCTGGGCATGGTGGCACACACCTGTAATCACAGCACTCAGGAGACTGAGGCAGGAGGATCACTGTGAGTTTGAGACCAGCCTGGGCTACATAGTTTCAAGTCAGTTGAACTACATAGTGAGACCCTGTTATGGTTTGGAAATTGTTCCCAAAGGTTCATGAACTGGAAGCTTGGTCCTCAACGTAATGGTATTGAAAAGTGGTACCTAGAGAGAGGTATCTCGGTCATGGGGATACCACCCTTGAAAGGGGATAATGCCATCTTGTGGGAGAAAGTGAGGTCTCAGGACTGGATAAATTACCATGCAATTGGATTATTATAAAACGGGTCAGACTCCTATGTCTGTCTTCCCCATGGGTGCTCTCTCTGTAGACACCACTTCCCTTTCTACTTCTTTGCCAAAATATGAACAACACGTGGCCTTAGCAAGAAGCTGAACAGATGCTGGTGCCATGCTCTTGAGCCTCCAGAACTGTGAGCTAAATAAATTTCTTTATAAATTACCAGCTCAGCTGGGTGTAGTGGCACATGCCTCTAGGGCCAATTACTTGAGAAACTGAAGCTGGAGTATAGTGAGCTCAAAGTCAAGCTAGGCAAAATAGTGAGACCCCATCAAAAAACTACCAGTCTTGGGTATACTGTTATAGCAATACAAAACAAACTAAGCCACATACTGTGCAGCAGTTAAGCTCCTGGTTATTTACCCAAATGAGTTTGAAATTTATATCCACACAAAAATCTGCCTATAAATGTTTACAAACACTTTATTCACAATTGCTGAAATGGAAGTAAGAAAGATGTCCTTCTATAGGGTAATGAATAAACTGTGGTACACTCATCCAATGTAATACTATTCAACATTAAATGAAGGAACCCAGGTTCACGGGAGAAATTTGAAAGTGGATGTTGTGCAGTGAGTGATATGAGGTGGTATAAATACTTGAATAACCACTGATGATTTTCTGGACCTGACTGGTTTACAACTTCAGAAGAAACGATGGAAAGCCAAGAATTTTTGTCCTGTACACTCATCAAAAGAGGAAGAAGGCCAAAGGATGGTGAGATGGAACCCTGAAGCTTGGCCCCTCAGGAAACAAGGCAGTTTTACATGACAAAGGAGGTTGCTTGGAAAGTCTCTTTTTGAAGTGCCTTGAGGTGAAACCTGGAGCTGATTTAGAAAGTGATCCCTACTTAATCTCGGTTGAGGAGGTGAAGGCCACTGGAAGGGCCAGATGTTCAACAGGAAGTCATTGAAGAAGCACTGGGATGGATTTCCAGGGGCTTCGGGTCCTCTGGCTGGTCTCGTGGGTGTCAGCCTCCCCGGTTTAAAACAAAATCAACTGGTTTTCCATAACTGCATCAAGTCCCAAAGAAAATTATTGTTACAGAAAACAGGGAATCATCTTGATTATTTGTGGCTAGGACTACTTTTTTTCTTTCTGCAATACACTGCCTTTGTTTTCTACTGTTGGCAGGAAGGAGATAAAATAATATGCAAAAGTACTGTTGTTATGCAAACTGGAGAGAGCCAGGGCCTGTTTCCTACCACCTCCTTTGAGGAGTGCTTGGGCAAGAGAAGGGGCTCTGCACTCCTCTGAGTTCTTGGTGTCAGCATGCCAAACCTGCACTGGCCACAGAGCCCATAAGAGGACATGGCTCAGCCCCTCCATGTCCACAAGTCTTGCAGTAGCACATCAGAAGCAAAGTGCAGATCTTAGCTCTTCTGAAGTCCATGCCAGCAACCATGCGTGAGGAACAAGAAGCTGAGCTGCTAGGATGCTCTCTGCAGATGTGAACCCCACTTCATGTGGAACTGGCCCGGAAGGGCACACTGAGGTGATAGGCACAGAGGATCCAAACTGCCAGCAGCAGCTGGAAAATGCCATGGGAAGCAGAAGCCTCTGGGCCATGTATTTATCCCCACTGAGTTCCCAGGCAGCTGCTTCTGCCACAGATGGGGATGATATGGAAAGGCAACTGGCAGTGCAGGAAAATGACATGAATTTGAATTTGGAAGACTTTTGGTACAAAAAAGGATGCAGGAACATGTGCTGCAAAGGGCAAAAAATATCATGAAGATGAGCCAGAGGACTTAATGAGTGTGGGAATCAGGAAGAAAAACTAGAAATTCCTTCATTTTTTGGAAGCAGCAGCTTGCTGGTGAGCTGTAACAGTGTAGGAAAGGGTGGGTTACTCTTAGAATCTGGTATTCGTGAAGATAATAAAGCACACCTTTTAGTGGAAATGACCAGCGGTGCGCTGAATCTTCTCTGAGTCATGATGTCATGGACAAGGTTTCAGAAAATAATACTGTCAGTGAGAGTCTGGGTAGTGTCCAGGACTCTGGAGGGAATGGAACACAGCCATTTTTGGAGGTAACTATTTTTTTTCTCTTTATTGAGTTTATTGGTACAATCTAGTTATATAGTACAGTTACATTCATTATTGGGATCCTGTACCTTTACATGATAGGTCTTGATTCTCGTTTTTCCCCTTGTCCC